GATTTGGAGTGACTTGCTCTTTAAGAGATGGTTGCCACCCCATTCCACAAAGTGCTCCATCAGGTCTCTGTCTCTTTTCCATCTCTGACCCTCAATAACTTTGAATATTTCTACAGATTGCTGAACTCAGATTTGTACTGAAACTCTGAGATGTAAAAATGGAGTAAAAAGGAAGGGGGGCAATACAGTGCCCTGTGGTACTCATGTGCTGCCGACATCCTCGTGGGCAGATGGCTAAAGGTTTACTGGCTCAAGAATTTATCTCATCACAGAGTTTAAATCAATTTGACTTGTTTGATCTACTAAAAAATCCAGTTCTTAGTGTCTACAACAATTATTTTAAAAATATGTGAAAATAAATTTATATTCACTTAGTAAAGGATTGGTTGAAATGGACAGTGAGATCAATGAAACCACTGATTCATAGTAAACTGGGAGATGAGAGGAAGGATAAAAAAAAGAAACAATTGAGTAGAAACACCAACAGTGTTAGGATTTCCCCAGCTATCCACTGGAGTTTATTGTGATTGTCTTGTTGCCTGTTCCCTGAAGCATGTAGCTAAGTTAAAGAGACTCACTTAGACAAAGAGTGGAGCAGCAGGACAGAGGGACTCACTGCAAATATCCGTCAAGCTGAGCAGGAAAGGCTAGAGAGGAGCTGGGAGGACAGGCAGGATTTATATCCATCAACCTTTGTGATGCATTAGTTGCAATGACAAACGTGTCATGAAAACGTATGTTAATTTGAATATGTCAGCCGGCCTTCATTCCTTTTTAAAAAATACAGGTAAATCTTCTCTACAGGTAATTTCATAAACAATCACACCTTTGGAACATGTGATCTAAACCACTCACAGGTTGACACTGTTAAGTAAAAAACTGTCAATCTATTTCTGAACGTTCTGATCTCCTTGCAGTACACACACCCAGCAGGGCTCTGAGATCCTGAGGGAGCAGCCAGCAGGTAGAACCCCGGGTCAGAACCAAACGGGGTGAAGCTGCTCTTAGCTGCTATGCTGCTCACAGATGGACTCGGCTTTCCTCGTGACCTCAGATGTACCCCATCTCTAGTCATTTTAGCATCAGAACTGAAACCTTTCATGTATTTTTAAGCCATCGAATGCTGCCCCTTCTGCACTGTAACTGCTCACTCTTTAACTTTGCCTTTTTATTTATTTCATGTCATGAATCTAAATTATATTAAACTTCATAATCTGCTGTTTTATGACGTCACTTTGATTTTAAAGGGTTGTGTCTTGCTGTTGTTGCTCCTGGAGAGCACACTGAAGTGCTTGTGTGTGTGTGTGACACGTGCCATACAAGTAAAACTGGCTTGCCCCAGCCTGTATGCTGAAATGGCTTAAGGAAGAAAGTACGAAGAAGGCCCATACGGTTCCGGTTCTGTAGGATGTCTCTTGAATTGGAACCTTAGTGCTTTTTATAAATATTTTAAGGCCATTTAACTTCATGACTTATTGTATCGCTTCAGATGATCAAAATATGTATTTTTCAACAATTGATTCAACTGAGTTTGTCTCTGAAACATTCAAATATTTAAAATAAAAATGCGTTTGAATAATGTGAAGACACATTTATAGAAAATGTAAACCAGTTTTCAAAAGAGCAACTTAAAACATGATGCACATAAAAAAACCTGCAACACCATAACAACAACGATTGAGTCTAAAACAATAAATAAGATCAATTCTCCTTGGACCAAAATGGGAAACCTGCCAAGAGAGAGAGAGGATAAAACGTGTCTGACTAGACTTATCGTCTCTCTCTCTCTCTCTCTCTCTCTCTCTCTCTCCTCTCTCTCTCTCTCTCTCTCTCTCTCCTCTCTCTCTCTCTCTCTCTCTCTCTCTCTATCTCTCTTTCTCTCTCTCTCTCTCGTATCTCTCCCTGCACCATGAGAGGCTGCGCACCTACCTTTATCACTTACTCCTGTCGAGCCTTTGCAGTGTCTTACTGCTATTCTAAACCTTGTTGGATTAGAGTGAGAGATGAATGTCTCGTGTAAGCCAGCCAGACTCCCGGTCCAAGATATTAAGAGCTCCTGTCTCTGCTTCCTCTCAAATCATTTCCTCTGCTGTTGGAGATCGCTCACCGAGCCATTTGGGATAAGTGTCAGATTAATGCTGACTAAGAAAAGAGGCCTGCACGTTGCCAGCGTCAGTGGTAATACATTGGAAGAATGTTCTCTGCTGTCTGTGTGTGGTGGACGGTTGACTACGTTTTCTCTTCCTGATTGGCGCTATGCCATAGCAGAACTGACATTTCTGCCAGTATCATCTTAATTGTGTCTTCTTCAGGGGAGTTGTGATATCGCCTTTTATTGAGCAGATATTATGTGAAACATAGAGCAGTGCATGCATTATTCCTTCTGAAGTTTGATTGGTGAAGAGTCAAAAAAGATTTGTCAGCTGCAGCCATCCCATCTTAATCCAACAATTAAAGACCAGAGGGACGCTGGTGCGGTTACATCCGTCAGCTGGTGGCTGAAACAGCTAAAAGTAGTAAAAAGTGTCAAATCGCAGAATGTCCAAGGAATGGTTAATGTGACAGGAATGCTGCGTTTACTTGTAAGTAATATAGGCAGACTGTGGATTTCTACAAACCAGGTGAGATGTCCCGAATCCACCACTGTTCATCATGATGGGATGAACCAAACTGGAATATATTTGAATTATTGTTTTAAATGTAACAATTAATATTGGACAATTAAGATTTGACAATTGATAATTATTGGTTTTAGAAACTTAAACTGCATTACCTTGTTGTTTAATAAATGCCGCCCTGGGGCTATCTTATGTAAATAAGTTGTAATGGATGTAAAGAGACACTGGTACAACATGCCATGAGCTAAGAAATGGAACGTGGTGGTCGGAGGGACCGGTGGTGCCTGTGCTCGGCAGCCTCGCCTCTGTCAGTGCGCCCCAGGGCAGCTGTGGCTACATCGTAGCTCATCACCATCAGTGTGTGAATGAGTGTGTGAATGGATGAATGATACACTGTAGTGTAAAGCGCTTTGGAGTCCTTACTCTGAGAGGCGCTATACAAGTGCGGGTCATTTATCATTCCTATTGATGAGAGGGAAACAAAAAGGAAGAATGTTGGAGGACCACTTACGTTTCAGGATGTTCCGGTGATACACAGCCTGCAGTCCTTGCTGGAATATCATTTTACAGAAAGCTTGAAACTTTTACTGACACCAGAAGAACTGGAATGGTGTGTATTACCTGCCTTTAAGATGTGTGTAGAGAATAATCATAATTGAAATCATTTATTTTAGTGAGTTTGCTGCATTATGTAGTTCTAAAAGCCAGCAGGAAATCTAAAACTGTTTTCTGGTAACTTATAAGTATCTCAACATGAGGTGTCACAAAATCACCTAGTTCAAGCCGGTGGTTATAAAATTGCTTTTAGCATCTGTGTTGTTTATGGTTTCTTTATCTCAACTTTCCATTTCAGTCAAGGGTGATCGAAAGCTAAATTCCCCAGAAGGGGGTGAAAATCCTACAGGAAGATGCATGATAGGAAATCTTCTTTGCTGTATTTCAGAGTGGCACAAATAGCTTAGCTGCAGTGAAAAGTGGTGATCCTCCTGCAGAGAACTGACTCAGAGGCAGGAGCTGCCACCGTAAAACAAAGATCGTGTCAAGAGAGGGTGAGACATCTTTAAAGAACACATCATCATTCCCAGAGTGAAAGCCTCTGCCGAGTGGCAAGAGTGAGAAAGTTTTCCATTTGTCCCCCTTGAACCTAAGGATCTTTCCTCCAGACCATGGGTACTCAAATATAAGTGGCCAAGGGCCACATTTAAAATTCCCTATGAGCTTGAGGGCCAGTGGTGGTGGGGGTACTGCTCTAGACTGCACCATCTTTAATCAATGAAGTTCATTTAAAGCAACTTGTTCATTAATCATTCTTGTTTTTTTTTTTGTTTGTTTTGTTTTTTACATAAAATTGAGCAGTTTGGGGTTTTAAAACAACAATAAAACTGCAGATTACCTGATCAAACTTTAGGGTAGAGTGTAAAGTGTTTTCCAGTGATAAAAAGAAAACCTGTGCTCATTTGGCATGAGAACTTTCCAACACAAGAGCAATTTCACAAAATGTTTTCGAGAGCTCTCGGTCCAGACAGACATTCAGCTGCACCGACTTACTGGGCCCAGTCCAATGACCTTCATTTGCTCCAGGCTAGTTATTTAACAGGAACCCCTCTTTTCTCCATACAACTCTTACTGTTAACTTCTCTGCTGGTTATTTTTCAATTTCTCGCTCACATAAGAACCAAACTTACAGCCCAGGGCAATAAAGTCAACACTCAACTGTTACATACATTCATATTCTAAGACTTAATCTTCATTCTCTGCATAAAGTTGAATGAGATTTAATTTTGTGTGGAATCCTCATTCAAAAACTAAACCAACAACAATTTATAAGCATCCGTCTAAACAGGCACAGTTTAGAGAGTCCCAAAGTAGTCGGTTCAAAGTGAGGTTCTTTGTGTGTTTCTTTTATCCGTGAGGTGGAAGGCAGAATGTTGTGCATGTGACTGTTGGTGTTGAAAGTCCTGACATCTTTAGGGAAGCCTCCAGCTCTTCACACTCCGTTCTGACTGGGTGTGAGGGTGCACCCCATGTTTTTTTTTTTTTGTTGTTGTTCCTTTTTCTCGTTCCAGGGCCTTTTAGTCTTGAGTGCTGCGGTTACCAAACCACACCGTAATGCATTAATTCAGGACATGCTCCACAGTGCCCCCTGTAGCTTTGGATAAGGGAGGTTGGCTCGTCTCAGCCTCAGCAGGAAGGCTTTGAAGATTAAAGTCCACAGATTTCATTGTAAACTATTGTAAAAAATATATATACATATTTAGATCAATGAAATTCGGCCATGACCAAACTATTGTAATGGTCTTTCGGACATTCTCACAAACAGGTAAAGTTTTTTTTTAATGCTAATGTATGCTGTTTCCTGTTTTTTTTCTTCCTTACTTTCAGTGGTGGGACTCCACTGACTGTGAGTGGGACCAACCTTGCAACCATTCGAGAACCAAAGATGAGAGCCAAGTATGGGCAGGCAGAGTCCTTCCATGTGAGTCTCAATGTGACTAACATGTATGAGCCTGTTTTAATACATAAACAATCATGAGCATGACTTTATGCAAATACTAGGAATGCAACGATACACCCTTTTTTCCAAACCGATACGATACTGATACTTGGATCTGAGTACTTGTCGATTACCGATATCGATACTTCTACCACACCAAAAAATGCAATGATTTGGAATACTGATTTTAATTTCTTCTCTGCTTTCAGGAAAAGACCGTGGGGGAGATTAAAAGTAAAATATATGAATAAAAATCATCACAAAACTAAAATATAAGGTGAACAGAAATGACAAGTTACAGTAAAGCCATTTTCAAGCAACTGCATTGGTATCGGCTCCTGGTATCGGTTAACTTTTACCGATACCGATACTGGAATCAGTACTGGTACCGGCACCAATACCGATTCCAGCATCGATATCGGTATTGGTGCATCCCTAGCAAATATATCATTTACATTTTACCTGGATTTATACTAAGACGCTCCAAAAAACCCTTCACAACCCTCACATATCTATAAATGACCAAATTCAATGTCATGCTCTAGTGATGTCTTTTTCCCCTCAGCTAATGACGTCTAACACTTCCACAGGCTACAGAGCATTTCAAATGTCACCGTCGCCTCATGAGTGTTTGTGCAGCAGACTGACAACTTGACAGACTGCATGTGTGAAAGAGAAAAAAGAACAAAGTCCGTTGATGAGCTTGACAAGAACTTTGTTTATTATTGCTTAAAGTGGAAGCGAGTTGTCATGGCTAAGAACTCCACATGGAAGCACTTCAACCTGCTAATAAAGATGCATCTTACGGAGTCAGACAGCCTACGCCGTGCATCCCACACAGCCTTTTATCAAAGTGCTCCTTTGCACTTAACGGCCTGCGCTGGTGCTTTTCAATGTTGACACAAATTTACAACAGATCACAGTTTGCATCTCTATTCTGGTTTTCTGGTATTCTTGTTAACAATTAACTGGAAGCAATCAAAGTGAACAATGCCTTTTTTGTCATTGTGGCATCACAAACTGATCTTAATGCAGACTAAATGCTTCTTCTGCATAAATAATAAATAAATAGAGGCTTTTTATTTGTATTTTTGAGTAAATTGTCTTTGGAAACCCGTTAAGCTGTTCTATATATTGAGGCGTCTTGTATTTATGTTTTCTCTAAAGCACTGAGTAAATACTCGCGGGTACCAGCACTGCAACAGAGCACGTTATTCTTTATTAACAGTTGATAATAAATTTGCAACCAGTTTACTTTGCCAATCATTCTAACAGGGCACTGGCTTAAACAATGACAGGTTATACCCAACAGATGTTTTACAAAGAAAATAATGACCTACACGGTTTGTTTGCTGCATTTCTGATGAGGCAGAGCTGCTTTCTCTGTTCAGCATCTGAACACAGTCTGGATTTCACAGATATTTAAAATTCTGTCTATTTTATAAAGAAGATGAGAAAAATAAGTTTTTGGACAGTAGTTGAAGTCGTGATCTTTCCTTTTATCGTTTTCAGAACTGCACGGTGTACAACAACTCGGTGATGGTCTGCCTCGCTCCTTCGGTGGCAGACTCAGAACTTGGCTTTTCTGAGACCGGCACCGGCCCGGATGAAATTGGTTTCTACATGGACAATGTGAATGCTCTGGTGGTGGTCAATGAGACGTTCAGCTACTACCCCGACCCCGTTTTTGAGCCACTGAGTCCATCTGGCGTGCTGAAGCTCAAACCCACCTCTCCTCTCATACTGAAGGTCAGAGACAAACAGCTGTTTTTCCCGAGACTTTTACTCAGATGACTTTATCGATGCAGTGATCTGATGTTTCTATCTCACAAACTACTTTGTCCGGGCTTTGTAAATGTTTTTTAACTTGTTCACAATAACTTGTGAAAATGAAGAGATTCAGGTGTAGACAGTTTATGAAGGAGGTCGTCTTTATTTCATCGTTACTAAGTAAATTGGTCTTTATTTCTTACAATGTCTTAAATACTTATTCAATTCAATTCAATTCAAAAATACTTTATTAATCCCAGACGGAAATTGATTGCTGTAGTAGCTCAGAATAATAATAATAAACAAGTCGTCAAAGAGTTGTTGTATATTACAATGGCTGTTGGTAGGAAGGATCTCCAGTAGCGGTCAGTGTTGCAGCGAAACTGAAGAAGTCTCTGACTGAAGACACTCTTCCGTTGTCAGACAGTCTTGTGAAGATTCAATTCAAGTTCAAATTCAGGATAACTCATTGTAGGATGTGCAGTTTTATTTGAGTAAAGCTAAATTATTTATTAACCCTCCCACTGTCCTAATGGGTGTGACCCCACAAGGAAAGTTGACCATTGAGCAGGGTTGATTGTTTATTCCTTGGGTCCATGTGGCAGGGGTGAGGGGGCGATGAGTGAGCACCACCTCACCCCTGCCACATGGACCTCAAAGGATAAACCATCAACCCTGCTCAATGGTCAACTTTCCTCGTGGGGTCACACCCATAAAGACAGTGGGAGGGTTAAAGACCAATTTGTTAATTTTTCTATAAACACAGGAACGGTGGCGCAGTGTTTGAGGGTGACAATAAAGGAAAAGAAAATGAGATTTTTAGCAAGAAGAAACCTCCAGCAAAACCTGAACCAAGCTCAGAGTTAGCTAACTCTGGCCTGAGACACCAGGAGAGAATCAGTCGTGATTACTAAAGCAGAGGGAACCAGCACAGTCGAAACAAACAAGGAGGGTGATAATGAGCAATGCCACCAGAGTGAGGAAATCAAGATGTCCTCCGGCAGTATAGGAAGATATTTTGTGATGTCAATGTTTGTTTCTCACATTACATCACAGGATTTGTGGCCAGAAACTATGTATTTTGCCTGTAGTTCGGTTGTTTTTCACGTTTGGAGGAAGATTTAGCAAAGCAGATGGATCGTTATTGCTTTGTGGTCGATTGTTTGGCCCGTGGGAGGCTTGACAAAAAGTTTTAGTGGAGTCTCCTCCATAAACGACCACGAAATGCGATTGAGGTGATTGCGAACAACCCAGACTCTCTGAAGAAAGCCTGGATTCCTGCATTAACAGACAGTTTGTGAAGTTCAATAACTAAGTATTTGTTAATTAAAGGAGCCACTTTTAAAAACATTCATCTTCGTGTATTTTTAAAGCCACGGTCATCTTGTTTTCGCATTCTGATTCAGGTGTCTCAACTTACAATCATTATAACAATAAAGAAATAAATAAGGACGCTGATAAAAGACTTACCCAGTTTTGAGGATTTATCCTTTTTCTTTGACAATCAGCCACAGATGATGGGATTTGAGCTGTGGCTGATTGTCAGAGGGGACTGCTGCTATTAGCTATCTTTTGTATATTCGTTCTGTTTTTCTTATGAATGAATATCTAAGTTCTTTTTTTAAACACAGGAAAGGTTTTCTTACCTTGCTGACAGTTTTGATCACTCCTGCGATCTTCACCAGAGGTAGCCGCTAATAGCGGCGTCACTTCCTTCTCTGTTTATCCGTGGGCAGCAGAGGGCGGTGTCGCCCTAAGTGTGAGAAGGAAACAAGCCTAAGACACACAAGAGCAGCAAGACAAGAAGCAGAAAGTTCAATAACGAAATCAGCTGTAACTGACCACTGCGCAAGGCAAAGGGACTGGAACAACGCAAGGATCATAACCACCGAACAGCAGAAACATAAAAGATGGATTAAGGAAGTCATGGAAATACGGAGATGTGGGTATGAAACCATGAACAGAGACGAGGGGGTCTACACATTAGATCATGCACGGGACTGTGCCATCGGTGTGGAGAGCGCGGGCAGCAGAGGGCGACAACGTCCTCTGCTGCCTGCGGATAAATGAAGAAGGAAGTGACGCCGCCATTAGCGGCTAGCTCTGATGAAGATCACAGGAGTGATTGAAACTGACAGCAAGGTAAAAAAAACTGTTAGCAATATTATATTAGCTATTAGCATTATTAGCACGACCGCCACTTTCTGTTTACAGAAGCGATCGGCCCAACTTCCCATAAAACTAAACAATCTTAGGCCTCTAGAGTTTTTAAAGTCTTAAAATGTTATGAAAGAAGGGTCTAAAGCTTTCTGTTAAATCGGAAGAAATGTCTCCCCAGCAGATTTGTGAAAAAAAACTTCGGCGAATCAGACCATCGTTTCCCATCAGAGCTCATACAAGTTTTAAATAACTTTCACTTTGTCTTCAGTACAGATTTTAATCTTCTCGCTTAACCTCCTCCTGTCTTCAGACGGTAAAGTGATCATTGGGGATTTGGCCCGCAAACTCGAAACGGTGTACGTCGCGTATTGATAGCAGGCCATATTGTGTTTGTTTTTGCCACCCAGCACTCGCACATGCGCAGAAAGATGAAAAAAAGATGTCAACAAAGATTTTCCTAAAGCAGCATAACTAAAGGGATGAGCCTATATAACTCAAGGTAACCCTAACCAGAACATTTATCAAAAAGGAAAATCGTTTTAAGTCTAATAAAATTATGCAAGGTGTCTGCCTGAAGTTGGTTCCACAAAACTCTGCCTTCCATTCATTTAGAAACTTGAGGAACAAGTAAGCCTGCTGTTTGAGAGCCAAGTGCTCTGTGGGGAATATCTGGAATGAAAAGATTTCTAATATATGAAGGAGCTTGATATTCCAGAGCTTTATAAGGTAGAGGTATTTTTTTATGTTCAGTACTGAATCTTACAAAGAACCAATAAAGCGATGATCAGACGGACTCCTCAGAACCAGCACCATAGAAAGGTTGCATAAGTTTGGATGAATTTGACCATTTAACAATAATTTTGAACTTGATCCAGTGTAGCTTAATGAAAAGTGTCTATTTGTTCTGGTGGATGAATGTTTTTTTTGTTTTTTTTTCAAGGATGTTTTCCTTTTAAGAGTTTCAAACATTTCAAATCCACACAGTTGCAAAGCCACCAAGCACAAACAAAATCACTGGCTCTCACAAAAAGGAGAAAGAAAATTGTTTTGGAGTGTGTGTGCAAGGTCTCTTAGGAGGACAAAAAGAAAAATCTCTAATTCGGGAATGACAGCTGAAAGCAAATGTCCGCATCTTCCAAGGCCGGTTTCTGTCCTTCACTATCAGCAACTTCTTTAAAAGCAGTTCTTCTCAACAGCCTCCAGCCCTTTCAAATAACAGTCTTTTCAATTTGTGTAATTAATTTGTGGAGCTAGAAGGGCACGGCGGAAGCACGCGGGCCTGTGGTCCAAGAAATTTGGATTATATTGCTTTTCATTTTCATTACCAGTGAATGGGTGTGGGTATGTGAAATTAATTGGCAATTTCTGAGTTTCGCCTACGTGTCGCTGCGTTGTCTTAATGTGTTCACCTGAAATCTTAGGTCAGAGAGTGACTGAAGAGAAGCTAATGTGGGTGTTGGAGTAGAAACATGCAAATATGTGTGCACAGCCACTGTAGTACTGATTCAGACATGTTGTGGCCAGAAATGGTTTAATATTTTATTTGCACAAACCAATCACTGAGCTGCTGACAGTGTGGGGCCCAAAAATGTGTAATTTGCATTAAAAAGGTACTTACTGTAATTTAATGAAGAGACAATATGAATGCAATTTTGTTTCGATCGGTGTCGTATTTATGTGCTACGATTGCACTGAAACCAATGTTTGGTGCCTTTATCTCTTCTATAAAGAATTTCCTCGACTATCTCTTATGTTATCAAAGAGGGGGTCACGGTGCTTATTTATATGAAGAGACTAAAAACAGCGTGACCGCAGCAAATTTTTTTCTTAAATGATCATTTATTTGCAAAAGGCGTTGCCGTAATTGCCAAATCTCCTGCTTGGCTTGTCAGTGGAACTGCTTACTGAGTGGAAGCACTGATGAGATGGACAAAAATGCAATTTAGAGAGATGGGATGTGAGGGTAGCACTCCTCACATGCATGCATTTCACTTACCACGCAATTAATTTCTCATCTTTCAACGTTGGAATTGTTCTTCACTGTCTTAAAAAAAGAAAAAGTGGGAAAAAAATGATCCTGTTGTTTCTTGAGCGCTCTTCCTGCACCCCGTATGTATTTTTGAGAGTGTTTCTCTGCATGATGCTTCTTTCCTGTAGTGTTTATCTGCCGAAACAGCGCTGTGTGTGCGCCAATGCCTCCATTGCATGTGTGGTTTGATCTCTGCGTGTGTGAATGCGTATATAGGATACTGTGGGATTGTGAGATGGAATGGGATGCATGTTTACAGGGTTGCAGAGCAGGTCGGGTGGCAGTAGCCTGCAGAGATGACGGGATTGGAAAAAGGAGTCTGTCTCTGCGTCCCACTGCTAAGCCAGCGGGAGACGTGGCAGCTATCTCCAGTCTCCCGTTTTCTAACTCACAAACTCCAAGACCATTCTGCTTCTCCCCCCATCTGTTCCCCTTATGCTCCTTTCCTCTTTTCCAATCCATTTCCTTTGATTAGTATTTGATTTATTGCCACTTTTGTTGCCTTTTTTCTTGAATTCTATTGAGATTTGTTTTAATCAAAACTCACACTTTCCCTTTTCTATCACTGTCAAATTGTCCAATAAATCTCAAACTGATTAGGTAATAAAATTAAAATGTCAAAAATAAAAGATTAACATGTTTTTTTCCTTCACACTCCCAACAGAATCTATGTGTATTTGGTGATTCTGTGGTTGCATATCCAAACTTTAACATTATACAGCATTGGACAGAGTAATCTTACCTCTATGGAGTCCAGGTAGTGCCCAGTGCTGAAAACAAAATGAATTGAAGCTCATGAAAAGGCATTTTGGTTTATTTGCAAAAGGAAGAGTACAAAAGGAAAATGTTTGATGTCAGAACAATGCAACCGTTGTTTTGTACAGAGCTTTTTTTCACCAAATGCTAATTTGCAACATTTCAAGTTCTTCAGGGCTAGTTTAATAACGATTTCATCAGCTTAGTTTAAAACCTCAAGATGTGTTTTAAGCCTTTTTGTACTGACATCAGAACTGAGGGCACATTTCTAAAACAGAATCAGATGTAATGTTTTTTTTTTCATAATTGGCACAAGTTTGTCTCCATACTTTGAGAATCACTGACGTAAATGTAACTAAACACAGGAATATGCAAGGAAGTTGAAACTTAAAAAGGACCCCCAGTTAATGATTCTGGTTTACACATCGAGTCTCTTTCCACATAAACAAATGGGATGATTAAAAAAAAAAATATATATATATATATATATATATATATATATATATATATATATATATATATATATATATATATATATATATATATATGTATATATATATATATGTATATATGTATATATATGTATATGTATATATGTATATATGTATATGTATATATATATGTGTATATATATATATATATATATACATATATATATATATATATATATATATATGTATATATATATGTATATGTATAAAAGTATATATGTATATGTATATATGTATATATGCATATATGTATATGTATATATGCATATATATGTGTATATATATATATATATATATATATATATATGTATATATATATATATATATATATGTATATATATATATATATATATATGTATATATATGTATATATATATATATATATATATATATATATATGTATGTATGTATGTATATATATATGTATGTATGTATATATATATATGTATGTATGTATATATATATATATATATGTATATATATATATATATATATATATATATATATATATATATATATATATATATATGTATATATATATATATTTCCAAGGTGTTGGCTTTTATTCATTTATGTGGTCCTCATCTTGATGCTGCATATTTAAAAAAATGAGAATGAAGTGTGAGCAAATGCAAAATATAACAACAACAATAAATCATCACTGATCATCGCTGTTGGTGTGAATAATTATGAGGTAAACGTGTCAAATAGAGGTTTTATTCAAAGATAATTAAAGGTACAGCATTTGTTTTTTTACATATTTGTCATGAAGATTGTCAGCCAGAGAAGAGGATAACAGAAGACGATGGTTTACAAAGAAAAGTTGTTGGTTATGTCTTCCTCACTTTGTAGTTTAGTAAGATACTTAATAACCATAAATGTGCTGAACTCTAGTAACTGTCCTCAGGAAAGTGCATGTTGGTAAATGAGCTGAGTGCCGCTCCTCATCTCTTCCCCTCTCCCGTCTGCGTTTAGGGTCGTAACCTGATCCCAGCGGCCCCAGGTAACAGTCGCCTGAACTACACGGTGCTGATTGGAGAGACTCCCTGCATCCTGACCCTGTCTGAGAGCCAGCTGTTGTGTGAATGGCCCAACCTCACCGGACAACACAAAGTCACGGTCAGATCACGACTCCGTGTCCCACTGCTTTGTCATCTGTCTCCATCCTGTTTGGTTTCACTTTACCACATATGCAATGTCTTCAGATGAATTACAATATAAGAAGTTAATTATTATAAACATGGACACATCTTAATCTGCCAGTTTCAACTCGAGGCGTTTTTCTGCCATTGTAGAGTTTTATAAATAACCCTATGTCTGGTTTCTAAACTATTTCCTTTGACAGGTTCAGGATGTGCTCCGATGCGTTTGCACTCCAAGGCTGCAGTTAAATATGTTACGCTTAATTAACACGTTGATCTTCGTTGGCCCTCTGATAATCTGTGGCTGAAAATAAGTTTCATTTTGTCACAAGTGTCAGAAAACTGACAAACGTTTGTTCGCTGAGCAATTTGAGACACAAGGGAACAAACAGTGTTTATTTTTTTCATCCTCAACATGTCGACTTTTTTCCCGCAGACGTGGTTTTGTTTTACCCACCGAGACTTACAGCTCTGGTTTTTCCTCACATCTCCTCAGTATTTTATTATCTAAATGTGATTATAAAAGGATTTAACAGAACAGAATGGAAGGTGCCCACCCCTGAGTGAAACAGTTCTCAACCCAGTCTTGCTCTGTCACTGTAACGGTAATCCACCTCTCTTCTACAGCAGAGGTTCTGACTGAGAACAGGAGGTCCAATCAATAACAAAACTAAAATTAACTGTTCTATTAAAGTAAACCGGATCTCTTATGATGAATTATGTAAATGGAAACTGTGTTCCCTCGCCCGGACGTGGGTCACTGGGGCCCCCCTCTGGAGCCAGGCCTGGTCACTGCCCAACCATACGGTTGTTGTTGGTTTAATTGGCAAAGTTGTGGCAGGAAAAACTCCTTTAAGTTTGTTCTGAAACATCAAAACTTCTTTAATACCCAAAAGGTGAGAGGATACAGCTTTGTTCTTTATCCAGAGAAAGCCTTGGTATATTCAATATGTTTTACATTTAAGGATTTTATCAGCCTCAGCAAAATTGCAATAAATAAATAAATGAATGATAAAGGCTTAACTTTCCCGACCAGAGTGGAGTATCATCTTTGTTTATTGTGACATTCTTTATCTTTTTACTTTTTAGTTACTAAAGCTACATCTGTGGCCCTTTTTTTATGAATAAAGATGTAGAAGACCCGTAGAATATTCAGAAAATAAGCAACCAAGACATGAAACAACTTTTCAGCATCACTCTGGGGAAGATTCTTTCTGATTTTAGAGGTTCTAAGAGAAAAGTAGCCTTGGATAGTTGTTTTTGTATTGGAATCAACAGAAAATTGCTAATTCTTTACTGAAAAACTCAAAGACAAGGGAGTGCCGTCAAAAGAAACTGGGAAGGAGATGGAAGGCTATGTGGCTACAAATGCTGGTTCAATAAATGTATTGTAATAGTCATCCATACCTTCGCTTACATTAGGTGGGTTTTTAATTTGGGTACTTCAATGCTTTCTCATGATTTCATTGACAAGTTGTTGGGATGACATGATGGGATTATTGGCATAGAGATTGACCAATAGGGGTTTTCTATTACCAATGTTGATGCCGATATGTAGAAATCATGGTCTGCCAATGGCCACAATGATTTTCAAGGCCAATATCTAAACATTTTCTACCTGATTTGCATTCTAAAAACGACAGTGGATGAAAATTTCTGAACCTGAATTTATTTTTAATATAAAATCCCAACAAGTAGAAAAGTCCCACGTGATCTCTTTTCAATAATGCGCCTGTTGTTGCAACCGTAGGCTGCACAAGAAACGGGCATAGTTGTTCATTCTGCGTTGACTTCAGTTGGGTTTGGATAGTGAGGAGACCCACCCGATATGGCGGCGATGCTGATATGCTCTCCAGCGCCCAATGGATGTCCATAGACATGAACACGTAGATGCCCCATTGGGCACTGGAGAGCCTATCAGCCATATTGGATGGGTCTCCTCACTCTCCAAAGTCACTGCAGCGTGAGCAATGTGCCCATTTTTTTGTGCAGCCTACAGTTGAAACAACCGGCATACTTTTGAAAACCGGTCACGTGGGATTACTATTGACTTTTCTAGCCTACCTGACTTTATGTATTAATTTATTTTGTTTAATTACATTTATATTTTATTTTTAATGCCATGCCACATGTCTAATTTTGTGAACAAGATTGATAAAATGTGATTTTTTTGTTTGTTGGATAAGCACCTTCCTCAGTGGAAATGAATGCACTAGGGGTGAATGGAGTCCCATCTAAGATGGCGGCCGGCCACTACGGCAGCTCCAATTGGAAGCACCAGTCCACGGGGCATCTACATATTCATGTCTGTGGGGTAAACGGGCAGCCTGTTGATTAGTCTGAGCGTTAATGCAAGCTAGTGATGAGTCTGATTTAATGCTAAAAAAGTGACTTGGGTTATGGTAAACCCTGTCTGCAGGGAAGATGGTGCCCAACTGACCACTTGATCAAGTGATATTTGTTTGGACAAACTCTGCAACTGCATTTTTGGTCCCACACAGAGATGCTTTGTAATGAAACTCACATTTTCATCACATTTTTAGAATATATGTATGCAGAAGCCAAACATATTAATTCTAACATCCTATCAAAGTTTAAAGTTTTTGATTTTGGCTTACCCAAAAGGTTATGAAAAGTAGCATCTCTTTTTGACAATTTATGTCCATTTACTAAAATTGTTTCTTTCATTCCTAAAATAATCTATTATACTTTTACTGTGATCATTTTTTAATTTGTACCATGTGGTTTCAAATGAAAGACCAAGTTCCAAATGTCCACGTTGCGAAAATGTAACCTTCCTTTCTGGGGTTTGATGTTTTGTGAATTAGCGCTATGGCGGCGGACAGTCCTGTGTAAAAGTCTAAGAGTAACTTTAAGTTTGGCTGCACTTGTCCGGGGTGCTGAGCTGTCAGAGGGATCCCGACTGAAATCCCTCCTTCGCTGCGACTGAAGCCGACTTTTACAATCACAGAGCAGCTCAACGAGCATCTGAACTGAGGAAGGTCAAACCTCATCACGGTGCCATGGCCTTCAGCATGAATATATTTGGATGTTTTTTTTTAAATATCCCAATAGTGCATCCACTCAGCTCCCACTTCCCCATCTACGGCTTTAAATGTATCACCAGTGTCCTTTCACAGTCATTTCCTTATATCTTTATGACATTTACTCCTTGCTAGCTACAGTCAATAAACCTAGAAAGCCACTGACAGCGCATCTATGTAATTCAGTATGATAGCCCTCAACGGAACCAGCCAGCTCCAAGGTGGATCTCTCTTGAAGCCCCCCATCCCCCCATCCCCTGTTTTCCCTTATTTTGAACTGAATGTCATGTTAAATATCGGAGCGCTGCGATGTGTTAGTGGGGGCGGTGGAGTTAGTCCTTCGTGTGACAATAGCCGAGGAAAAAATTTAGCTGTCTGTTCCTATCGCCTCTTTTACATGCTCTCTGTTTGTGGCTTGCTTCTGGTGTGTGTGTGTATGTGTGTGTGTGTGTGTGTGTGTGTGTGTGTGTGTGTGTGTGTGTGTGTGTGTGTGTGTGTGTGTGTGTGTGTGTGTGTGTGTGTGTGTGTGTGTGTGTGTGTGTGTGTGTCGTACAGAAGGACACAGCTGTGGCACACTAATATTCCCCAATGGGTGTCGATGTGCACGCTGGCCTTGTGCGTGGTGTTGTGCATGTTTGGGTGTACAGTAAGACGGGGTTGTTTTGCCCTCAGATGCTCAGCTGTGTGTTGGCAGCTGTGTGCCTCCCTTGAGTTTTCAAAGAAACTTGTTTGTTGTTTTGGCCTTCAGCTTTTTAAGTTGGTCTGCCAGTCCGTCAGTCTGTCAGTGCAATAAAAATAGACAAGCCCCGAAAATGTGTCACCACCTCGATGCTTTCTAAACTTTGCTGAATTTGTGCTGTTTGAGGATGAGTGACTGTGGCTGAATATCAAAGTGCACACATATGGGAAAAGAAACAACATAATATATTCAAATCTATCACACACACTTTGTTTATTCTCTGGTTTTATCATCCAAAACGCTTTCGGATCCTTGCTAATCAAAAAATTGCACTTGGTTTCCCTAAAAGAAACATATAAAGACTCATTAGAGCATTTTTCATCTTGTAACCTTCCAAGCTGCTTTAAACTTGTTGTGAAAAAGTATTTTTTTTTAGCATTTTCTTTAAAACAGGCAATAAATTGGAAGCCATCTTGGTGCAAAGGACATTTAAAGGAAAGCCTGTAAGAAACATGCATCAATTGCTACAATTTCCAATGGACAACTAGCCTGGCAAGCCAGACTAAATAATACATTTATTTAGTCTGGAAACGCTCCATTGACGGCTCTCGGTTGTGGGGTGGGTTCTACCGTTGTCTTTCAAATGATCTCCGCATGCTACTGGACAACGAATGTGACATACTCACCACAACAGCTTTCGGTAAATGAGGCGGTCCACAGTTGAAGAAGGAGAAAACACATAATTTTTTCTAAAAAAAAAAAAAAGCACTTAAATACATCTATCTGCTCCTGATTCTAATGAAGCCCAAGTTCTAATAGTCCAAAATGGATGTAAAAGCCGTTTCAAACGAGCTGTCGCCATCTTGTTTCACTCTGTTGCATCATTCCACCCACCAGGAATATAGAGTGCCCTGACTGGTCCACAAAGCGGATAAAGCTCTGTGATTTGTTCACTAAGCAGATAGAGCACTATGATTGGCCCACCATTATGGACCAATCACAGTTCTTTATGTGTTTGAAACCCCTCTAGAGAGCTGTGATTGGCCAGCCAGAATGCTGTTTGGGGCTGCAGAGGTTCCAGTGGAGCATTCCTAGACCAAACTTTGCAAAGCAAGGATTTGGTCTAGTTCACTAGGCTAATGGACAACTAATCTGTAGGAGGTACTGAAGACGGTTTGATGTGCTGATGACGTGGCGGTGCAGGATTCGCTTGGCAGGAGAGGGGCCGAGCGAGGGCCGAAAGACGCTGCTTGC